TTCATCGACCGGTACTGCGATTGGACTGTCCTGTTGTGTAGTAGGGGTTGTGGTCTTAGGCGCCGGTATTACAGCAATCACTTCGATATCAGAATCTGAATCACTATTACAAACAATACATTAAAACCAATTCTAGTGTTAAATAAATTGCTTAATACTTATGACAAGAGTCGGTGCCGGTGTCTATCGGTTTCGGTGGCTCCGGTAGCTTTTCAGTGCCACGTTTTGCAACATTTGCTATGCTATTTGCGTATGAATGATTCATACGCTTGTGTTTATCCAAATTGTTTGAACCGCAAAACCTTTGATGGCAGCCGACGTAATCGCACACAAAAGGCGGACTAATATTATGAGCAGTTTGTTTGTGCTGATTTAGATGCGATTGGAGCCGGCACACTTTTCGACAATGTTTGAAATCGCACTTAAATTCGTTTGGATCCGAAAGTTTAGATTTCGATGATTTGTGAGAACTTTTCGCCTTTTTATTAGAGGATTGTTTGTCAGCCATGGGTTGACTGCTATTATCGGATTAAATGTTAGATTAAAATTAGTGTTACGGTTATAATTAAATTAACTTTTAGACACATACTTTTGAACGGTTTTTGTGTTTTCAATACTGTTGGCTATAATCCTTGAATTGTTTGCAGCAATGGTTGACTCGTTTGCCAGTGGTATGAAATCAATGTTAATGCAAATATTGATGCTACTAATAGGGAAATAAATTTAAAACTAAATTAAAATACACCATAATTAATAGCAATTACATTAGCGCATACTTATTATCTGTATTAACAACTGATTTGTTGCCTCCGGTAGAGTTTGAATTGGTGGGCACCGGGAGACCAGTTATCGTCTGTTCCGCCTCAACATCGGGTGCTATCAACGCAATGACATCTGTTTCTGAAGTATTACTGTCACTCATATCTTCATTAATATCCAGTTCAGTGTCAGTGCGAGGGTCAGGCACTGGTAGATCACTCGTGACTCGTGGTGGCCGATGGGCAGTACTTTTATGCGCGTTGAATACAATGGCGTCGAAAAATCTTGTGCCGCAGCCGTCGTATTCGCATACATACGGCTGTTGTATATTGTGTGCATAGAGTTTGTGGTGATTTAGCGCCGACTCGTAATCAAAACTTTGTCCGCAATTATTGTAGTTGCATTTCAATGGACTCCGAGTCAGTCGTCCACAACTTTTGCGACTGTTTTGATGTTCATTTGAATCCCTGTACTTATGAAGTGTGTTAAGCCTTTCCCGATGTGTTGGATCTCGTTTTTCAGTAGATATGCCTCTGTATCCAGGGTGGGATACACTCTTGATATCAGGTGTTACACCAGAAAGTTCAATGAAATCTAATTGATCAGTCACTGCCCTGTCTGGTCGTCCAAATGGTATTGTAAAGGCAGTGTTGCTGAACACCCGGTGCTCAGCGATCACTTCGATACCAGAGTTTGTTTCACTAGTTTTGTGAGCAAACAATAAAACTAAATTACAAATCAATTCATTGTTTAAAACAAATAATTAATACTTAAGGCACGGGTTAGTGGTGTTAGTGTTGGGCACTTGAGTGTCAATGGATGTGGTGTTGAGCGCCGGTATGTTCCCATTAATGTCATGTCGTTTCCGCTTATGTGAATTCAAACTAAATTGACTTTTATATTCTTTGCCACAGTTTTCATTATCACATCGAAATGCCTTTCTTTTGGGAGTCACCGTTAGATCAATAGTCGGCACATTAGTACCGCCCGAAAGCAACGAGTGGACGGCCTGTTGGTGATTACTATACTGCCAGCCCCTTTTGAAGCTTATATTACATTTATTGCATTTGAATGGCTTGAAAAGTAATCCGGGAGTGTTGACGCCGGTGGTTAGCACTGGCTTTCTCATTGGACTGTTAGGCACCGGCATCTCATCACGGATTTCGCTATTTGTTTGAAAACAAAATATATTTTAAATTATTTGCAAATTCTTATTATCAATTGTTATGTCTCCATACTTATGACAAGCGTTGGGAATAGCATTGGTGTTGGAAGTGACGGGTATTTCAGTGTCCATATGTTGTTCCCTGCCATCAGGTGCTGTCGTTTCTGTACCAGTGGCTCCTGCGTTCAGCGTCGGTATGTCCTCAGTATGTGACTGTTTTTGGCGTTTATTTTCAGACGGAGTTCCACTCGTATTTCGTTTCCTATTATCTGTTGTCGGCAATACAGGTGCTGTGTTTGATATGACTTCGATTGCTGGCAATGCCGGTGCTGTTGTTGGCATGACTTCTGGTGCCGGCAATACCGGGGTTGGGATCGTCACAACTTTTGGTGTCGATAATACTGCCACTGGAGATGCAATGACTTCAGGCACAGGCAATACCGGTGCTGTTGTTGGCATGCGATTGGGCACCAGGATGTCATTCCTAGAAACATGTCTTCTACTCTTATGTAAATCCAATCGCTGTTGAGTTGCAAAACCCTTTCGGCACTCATTGTAATCGCATTTAAAACGTCTTAATTGTCTTAACTGTGAGGCAATGAATGGCTCGCATATTGACTCGTAAGTCAAGGGATAACTGTTTTGATAGCAAATTAGATTTAATTAATAAAATACACATCAATTATATATCATTACATACCTAGAGTTGACATCACTTTCAGTCATTTTCACATAAAATATGACTTTTTGTGTATTAATTAGCGATTACTAGCTTATGAACGCCACTAACAGTCAACACAAATGCAGGCAATGTTTGCGTGTATTTTAGTTGTGATTAGAAATACTATTCATTTGTTTGGCATTAGATTGAGATCACTATTACGTTATGATAACCAGACTGTCCACTGATAACACACGTGTCCCTTTGAATGTATGGCACAGGTATTGCAAATAGACATCGACTTCTCGTCAACATTTTAACCACATTTTTGGGTTCAAAATCAATACATTTATGCTGTTTATTACCGTAATTATCACAACATTTACGATTACACCTGGATCAAACACAAAATAAATATATAACGCTGTTTATTATGAACCAATTAACGGTATAGGGATTTAAGATAGTCACTAAACGTTATAAATAATGAATTTATAATTTTAATAAACATGAAACAGGTTTTCAAACATACGTTTACATTATGATTAGTCTAAACATTGGACTTGTTGCATCATATTTGATGAACACGTGACTTAAAATAAATTTAACTCATACAGTATGACTCATACACTACTGTAACACTTTGAGTGACATTCAAATGAATGAATGTAAATAGGCACACATTTTATATTATTAAATTCATTGTTCTAGGTAATTAATAAATTAAAATAAGTTACAATACTTAAATTGAACACATTATATTGCTAGTCTAGCAGTGAACATGTTGTTTACATTAGCATGTTCATACAGGTATAATATTACAGTACTTATTGCTGTAAACCGGTTTTCAAATCAAACTTATAGCGCCAAAATGTGTACATTATTTATACATTTAATGTACACAAGTTTAATAAACTAGTTTATCTACAATTAACATTAGCTTTCATTTATTTAATATTTAATTATTTAAAATTAATGTTATGATTCATGTGTTATTTATTATTATAACAGTGTTTCAAGATAATAGAGGATTTTTTTGTTGACAAATTAATTGATACAGTATCTTTAATCAGCCAATCAAATGAGTTTACTTAGTGACGTCACGTAAATTATGCACTTAAATGTGTCGTACAGTGACGGATCACTTTGTGGCTACAAATGCACAAAATCTTCAATTCAAGTGGTCTTTAAGTAATTATATCAATATATTTAAGCAAGCACACATATTTGCCCTCAAACATTATGTCCAATTTGATCCAATAATTAGTGAGTATATTATATGGAGTGTATAGTGTATATTATTATATAATCAAATACAGGTTATCACTCCATATAATATACTCACTAATTATTGGATCAAATTGGACATAATGTTTGAGGGCAAATATGTGTGCTTGCTTAAATATATTGATATAATTATTTAAAGACCACTTGAATTGAAGATTTTGTGCATTTGTGGCCACAAAGTGATCACTAAGAAAGTTCATTGGGATGTCTATATAGATTAATTATAAACTAATTATAGTCTATATATCTATTATAATTAGTCTAATTAATTATATAGATTATAATTAATTAGACTATTATAATAGACTAGTCTAATTATAGACTATAATAGCATATAAACACATTATAATTATTGTTTAATGACAAAAAATATTATATTAAAAGTTTGCTAAATTAAGATATTGCATTTAGTTCTAGACAAATTTTGTTAAATAATATTGATTAAAATTTTTATTCAAAGTTTATTCACAATTGAATAATTGGTAATGACGTATACATCGATGTTTACGTTAATATATCAGTAAAGCACTTTCAAAATGATTGGGAAGAAATATTCTCATAAACTTAAATATTGCCGGAAAGAAGATTCATTATGAGTATAGATAACAAGTTTAGAAAAGTTGTACTTAAGTAGCATATATCAACTTTCTGAACTCATATCTATACTCATAATGAATCTTCTTTCCGGCAATATTTAAGTTTATGAGAATATTTCTTCCCAATCATTTTGAAAGTGCTTTACTGATATCATAAAACAAAAATAAGTTAGGTACAACTTTTAACATAAAAGTCATGATGCTTTATGCTCCCTGATTATTTAATGATATTGTATTGGGTTTTCATGACTAACTATGTTAGTCAGATTTGTCAATAAGATGAATCATATACAATTATTACACTATCTTATATAATTATTGTTGTATAATATGATATGAACTGATATTAAGTTCACTAAGTGCACTTCATTTACAGTGCAATATGTTTAAATGACTTATACCTTAATCTAATTAAACAAATTAGATTATAAAATAGAGGTACAAAACTGACTGATCACAATTGTTTGATAGGTATTACAGTATCATTTAGAAATACATCACCTTGTCCAATTTGCACTAAATTTATTGACAATATAAATAACTACAAAATGATTAAATGGATTTTGGAAACAATATTATAATTAGTTTTAAAAAAACAATTTTATATAATAATTACAAATAAAATAATTTAGAAAACTAAACATATACAGAGATAATATTTAAGTTTTACAACAAAATACAAACGTTATCCATGAAATTTCTTGAACTGTATTACAAACTAGCATTTGGGAGCCTTATAAGTAGGGCTGCCAAACGTCTTCCAATTGGAGGATTGTCCTCCAATTAGCCCCTCAAAAACAGTCCTCCCGAGGGTCTAAGGAGGACAATGTATGTCCTCCCAGAAGTAATTGTCGAAATAATGCAAAATATTCATTAAATTTTCAATTACTTAGTGAAATTCATGAAAATAACCTGCAAGTTTGTAGTGTATTACAAAAAGTAGTGTATTCAATTGTAAATTGTAATAAGGTTTAAATTATTGTGTTGCCTGTTGGAGTAAAAATATATAGCAATATTATTAATTAAACATTTTAAATTTTTTGTCCTCCCAATGTCCTCCTGGCCAAGCTCAATTTTGACTATTTGTCCTCCCAGGCAATGAAAATAGTTGGCAGCCCTGCTTATAACATGCAGTGCATTTGGTACAACATTACACAATTACATTCAATTGAAACCTTTTATACAATATTTCATTTTAAATAATTTAGTTACTTGTTGACATTTAGAATTACTGTACTTGAAATGATTAAAGTGAAAATTATTTATACTTTACACTGTACTAAGATAGCAATATCTTAGACACTCACTTATATAAATGTCATATAATTATTACCAACGTATAAATAGGTATCCCAAACACTTTAAATGACATTCATATCCATATAGTGATTGATTTTTATGCATTCATATAAAAAAATATTTATAACTTATTACAGAAAATGTTTGTTAAAATAAATACATTGTTTTTATTTTTCATATTGTTTTTAATTCACACCAAACATGGAAACTGTGTTGACGTGAACACTACATCGGGTGTAGTGAGGGGACAGACAGTTCACATATTAGACACAAATATTGATCAATTTTTGAACATACCGTATGCGGTACCTCCTCTTGGGGAACTCCGATTTGCTAAACCAGTGCCTATTACTAAGCCATCGCCTGTAAGTCTAACAAAATATCATTAATTCATTAAAAATATATCTTAATAATTCATTTTTAAGGGTATACTCGACGGCACAAAAATAGGCAAAAAATGTCTACAATTAACACTACATCCCAATGAGATCAGCGAAGACTGTTTGGTACTAAACGTGTGGACATCGGGTTTGGGAGACTTGAAACCCGTTATGTTTTATATACACGGAGGGGGTCTGAGTAGTGGATCCAGTTTTGAGGAGGAATATAATGGCACTGTTTTGGCCACACATGATGTGGTCATTGTGTCCACAAATTACAGGTTAGGGTCGTTAGGATTCTTGTATGGGGGCCGGGAGGACGCGCCCGGAAATGTAGGCTTTTATGACCAGTTGTTGGCTCTTAAATGGGTATAAAAATTAGTCATTTTATAATTATTTTATTTAATTAATGATTAAATTATAGGTAAGAGATAACATCCATGCATTTGGTGGGGATAGGGATCAGATCACTATATTTGGTGAGAGCGCCGGCAGTTGGTCCGTATCAGCGCACATATTGTCTCCCCTATCAAAGGGTCTGTTTAAGAGGGCTATTATGGAAAGCGGTGCCCATTTGTACAACAAGGACAGGGATGTGCTCAACACCACTGAGGCAGTACTTGAGGCCAAACAAGTGGCACGACTTCTCAATTGTAGTGAATCTGAGGATTGGTTGAAGTGTTTACGAAAAGCCGACGGAATGGCTGTAATCAACTTAGACAACGGGCTGACAATCCCGGTGTTGGGCACAGAGTTTCTGCCCATTTCTGCACAAAAAGCATTTGAGACTAAAAAGTTTAATTCAGGTTTGAAGTTAATTAGTATATTTTTTCTAAAATTAATTACTGTACACGTTATAATATTTCTATTTATAAATATTGGCGATTTTCAAAATTTCAAAATATTTACTTATATTATATTACCGGTAACAATTTATTAATAATCTTGTTATTATACTTATTTATTACCACAGACATCGACTTATTAGCGGGTGTAGTGCGTAACGAAGGCTCATCATATGTACCATCGGTTGTCAAACACCCCCTCAATATAACTGTCGAAGACTTTACTAATGGTGTTAAAGAATTAGATCTCATATTCCATGGGATAGACGTCAAAAAGGTGACCGACTTTTACCTTCAAAACGTCAACACCAGTAGTCAGGTAGCGATGCACTGGACTGTGGGCGACCTCTTCGGTGATTTAGTCCTCAAGTGTCCGACATATCTGTTCGCCAAACAGTTCGCCATAACTGTGAAGGAGTGGCAAAGGGTTTACTTTTATGAACTTCTTTACGGAAGTAAAAGATTTTCCCAAATCATTGGTTGCGATCAGAAAACTGAAGGTATCTGTCATGCGGAGGACATACCGTTTGTATTTGGTTTACCCTATATTCATGAGAAAGACTACGAACCCGAGGATATGTTTTTCAGTCGAGAAGTCATGAAAATGTGGACTAAGTTTGCGAAAGACGGGTATATTATATATAATAATATTTATTTTTTCATTTTTATTTATTTTAAAATTTAATTATTATTTTAATATCCAGACATCAGGACGAGGAATGGCCACAATTACTGAATAACGATGGCGTGGATGGCGTTCCCCTTGTGAAAGGTCTGGACCCGACAAATATGACACTCGTATTGAGTGATCCCTTTCACCGCACATGTGATGGCATTTGGAGCACATATTTCTTGTGATTGTTTTGGGATATATACTGTATTTTGTAATTTCCCATAGATTTCAATACATTTGTATTTAGATAGTTGTTTATTATAACCAACTTATTTTAAAATTATGTCTATGGCTAGTGATCAATGGTTTTCAGATATTGTTTATTATAACAAGAGATTTATTATATCCAACTTTATTATATCGAGAGTTTAGTGTGTTAATATCTACAGTATTTTAACATGTCAAATATTGATAATATATTATATTTAGTTACAGTTTTATATTTTAACTTACATTTATTTATTTAATTAACTATTTAACTATTAATAAATATTATAAACTTATTCATGGATAAATACTTGTGGATTCATAAATTTTATAAATGTGGTTTATTTAAATGAAATTAATAATATTAATATTGGTATATACTAGAAAATTTGATCAATTTTTACAATTCATTCAATATATAGTTAAACTTATTTTAGCATTACATTTTGTGATAAATATAAATTTAATCTACGTAATATATTTCGATTTATTTAAACTAAAGTTAATATTTGTGTGATGACCACCCTGATCAGATATACTGTATTGGCGTGTGGTACTGTTTTGTTTTTATCGCGCTTATACTTAGCGGTGTTTAACCAACCACGTCTCTTGTGAAATTCAACCTGGATTAATTGATTTAAAAACTTATCCCGTTTGTTATGACCACGTTTTGGTTGGACTGGTAGCGAGTGAACACGTTTTTTGTGCTCATTTAAACTAGCTTCATTAGCATAAGTTTTAGCACAATTTGGGCAAATAAATTAATGGCCATGGAGTTTATGTTCAGCCAGTTCATTGTGCGAGCGGTCATAATAATTGTGGTATACAAAATTAATCAGAATTGTATATCTCTTAAGTTTATACGATAGGGCATCATTGTGGAAAGTATAGATAGTCGATATCGATACCTTTAGCAAGTAGTATATGATTGAAAANATAGATAGTCGATATCGATACCTTTAGCAAGTAGTATATGATTGAAAAGCACAGGTTTCGATTAATATCGACTATCCCAATGAGCGCCTATCGTATAAACTTAAGAGATATAATAAACAGGTTTTGAAAACAAAAGTTTGTGTGTTTACTCTTTAGTTGAAACACAATGCGTGCTAATCACATGCATACATGTGACATAGCTCATTAATTAACAATAAGAAATATATAGACAAAAATTCAAAGTTTTAGCGCTAAATCTATAATATTATATTGTACTATTTATGAAGTTTAGTCTCGTTTACAGTATGTTAAATTTACTTTTAATTTATATGACTGCTATAATTATAACAAATATTAAATTGTAATTTTTATAATTTTCATAGTATTAACTATAAAAATATTTCAGGCAGACAATTGTAATCGAGGTTGTAATATATGATTAAATTTTAATGGAGAAATAAAAATAAAAAGCAGGATAATCCAAAAATTTTATACTATATTTTATTAATAATTATTTTGTAAAATATGTGCCAATAATAATTTTTGTTTAATTTAGACTAGAATTGTGTAGCCAAATGAATTAATTAAAACTGAATTAGATTATAAAATTAATATTTATAGATAGACATAAAAATATACCACCCTTATCATATCTCATTTGTACTGTACTTTTAATGAAATATGGATTTGAAACAAAACAATAAAGTAAATAACTTAAAATATTGATTATTTATACAAGGTTATTTAATCACCAAGGATAATTATCAATTTTGCGCGCTTACAGAATATACTACTTCTATCTTAAACATACTGGCACACTCTACCTTGATGCTGATATTTATTATATTTGTACAATTATGCTATCTATATGTAGTCTAATTCCGAACTATTAATGCACTAATAAATAATGAGCAATTAACTCTCCTGCAAATAGTTATCACACATATATTTAATATAAATACTTTCTATTAATAACAGTGAGAAACATAATTATAATAATTTAATAAACTAAACACAATAATGCTATTCTTGTGTTTAAGTGTTTTGCTAAGCGTCCGGTGCTTAGGTATCAGTGCCGAGACAGTAGACGTCAAGACCAGCTCCGGTACTGTAAGGGGACAGACTATCGTCGAACTCGACAAAAAACTCAATCAATTCTATGGCATACCATTCGCTGAGCCACCGGTCGGTGCCCTGAGATTTGCCAAACCAATGCCTATTGCAAAGCCTTCACCGGTAATACAAATCACACAAAATAGACTCCAAAAGGTTTCACATGTTTTTAAATAACATAATTAATTGCTAAATATTTTAAGGATATTATCGATGCAACCAAAAAGAAGACCTCCTGTTTGGGTGGGGATCAGCCCACCTCTGAAAACTGTCTATACGTCAACATATGGGCGCCCAATAACATCACAACTTTAAAACCTGTTATGTTTTGGATATATGGCGGGGGTTTCAGAGTGGGCTCTATATTCTCGGACATGTATAACGGCAAGTCATTGGCCTCCTATGATGTCGTGTATGTGGCCGTGGATTACAGGTTGGGTTCGTTGGGCTTCCTATACGGTGGCGATGATGAGAAGACCCCCGGAAATCTGGGACTTTTGGATCAACTCGAAGGACTTAAATGGGTATGTATTGCAGTCATGAAACATTATCATGACTAAAATATTTGAAATATTTTAGTTTATTAAATACATTTATGAGAGTAGATTATAAAATTATAAATAGAAATAATTTATTTTAAAAAAGCAATTCACATATAAAAATTGTAGTATTAAATGAACAATTAAATAAAACAAAAGTCAATCATGTGTAAATAAGGTAAAGTTAAACATACCTTTATTTAAGCACAATATTTCCCAATTTTATAAATTTATAATTCTTTAAAAACATTTAATAATTTATTCGAAAATGTTTTGTTACAATTTTTATTTTAGTCTTGCACACATATTTTATTATTATATAATAAGCTTTAATAGTCTAGTGAATTAGAGAAGCAATTTTAATGATAAATTATTATTTATTTTATAAACTTTATGATAATGTATTAGTTTTTGAAATTAAATTAATAATTTTACAAAATATTCACTAAATAGCAAAATATAGAATGTTCCAAATATCATTATTATCAATTATTCAAATTAATTTCCAAGTTCCCTAAAAATGTTATTATCATTTATGTTTATAATAAAATTGCAATAATGCTGATTACAGTTTATAATTATTGGCAATAAAACAATGCTTTACTCCATGTTTTATTATTATAACCTACAGGTGCAAGAAAACATCCACGCGTTTGGAGGCGATAAGGATAGGGTAACGATATTCGGTTGCAGCGCCGGTAGTATCGCCACATCAGCTCTGGTATTGTCTCCACTGGCGAAAGGGCTGTTCGCGAGGGCTATACTGGAGTCAGGCGCTCAGCTCTATAGCTGGAAGAGTCTGACCCCCGGTCAGGTCTACTATACGAAGGAACAGGCATTAGCCGAGGCCAAGGAAATGGCCAAACATTTCAAGTGTACGGACGATAAGACGTGGTTAGAGTGCCTGCGAAAGGTTGACGCGAATAAGATCCATGACTACGGGGCTCTAACCGTCGGTGCAATGGTTGGCAACGCCTTTATGCCACTCAATGCTCAGGAGGCCTTCAAACAGGGAAAGTATAATAAAGGTCAGTGTCCATGAATTAACTTGTTAGGTATTATTTAACTCACAATTTTTATTGTAGAGCTAATATTGAAGTGTTTTATAACACATATTATAATACTTACAGTGATTGCATATTGCAATAAAAGTACCTAGCAAGTTTTATTTAAAATTATTTATTTGTGTCCAGACGTGGATCTGATCGCTGGTATTGTCCGCAATGAGGGTTCACTTCTTGCGCACCAACTCAAAGGCAATGCAACCGAACAGACATTTATCAATGAAGTTAAGAGTCTTATAAAAGATCCCGATTTGGAGGCAATTAAAGAGTTTTATCTCAAAGATATCAAATCTGGCAACCAATCAGCCTATCGGTGGGCTTATTATGATTTTTACGGTGATATCAATTTGAAGTGCAATACATATCTGTTTGCCAAACAAGTGGCCCAACACTCGACCACAAGGAATGTCTACTTCTATGAACTCACGTATCAAAGTGGCGGACATTTCTCTGGTTGCGATGAGAAGACAATGGGTATATGCCATGGATCTGATCTCGAGTTCGTGTTCTACAGGACCGGTTCCAACCCTAAGCTCGACATACCTTTCAGTAAGGAATGGATGAGTTATTGGACTAATTTCGCCAAAACTGGGTATAAATTAGTTGTTTGTTTGAAATAACGATTTGTTTTAATTGTCATTACGTTTGATATGAAGTGTTCCGACGACTGACGCCAAATGGCCTAAACTTGTGAACAAAGCCGAAGAATACAAGATATCGAGGGTTAAGGACATGAATCCATACGACTTCAGCAAAACACTTGTCGATCCTTTTAAGAAGATTTGCGATGAGTTTTGGGGAAAATATTTTGAATAATAACTTGATATATGTTAATAAATATTCGACAATACTCATTAAAATATAATATATTTAATTAAAATAAACCTCATCACAAAATGTTATATTTACTAAACATTATTTGAATATTTCGGTGCATTTGATGTGACATTTCAGTGGATTATGAGTGTTATGGATGTCTTTACGAGGGGTAAGCATCGGAGCAAACTTTATGAGGCAATCCTTGTATTATTAATAGGTATAATTCAATTATAATTGAGAAATAAAAATAAAAAGCAGATTCACAAAGCTATATATTATTTTGTAAAATTTGTACTAAATTAAGACAATCAAAAATAATAATTATTGTTTGATATAGACTAAAATTGTGTCAACAAATTAATGAATTCATTGAAGTTGAATTGGATTATGAAAGTAATATTTATCGACAGACATTCAAATGTACCAAGTGCTTCTATACCAATTCCATATCTCATTTTTTACTGTGCTTTCAATAAAATATTGATTTGAAACAAAATAATAAAGTAAATTACTTAAACTATTGATTTTTAAACTCAAGGCTATTTAATCACCAAGGAAAATTATCAACTGAGCGCGTTTACAGAATATACTACATTACTTCTATCTGAAACATAATTGGCATACCCTACCTTGATGGGGGTAGGGTGCACCGATGTTTATTATATTTATACAATTGTGCTATAATCTAATCCTGAACTATTAATGCACTAATAAATAATGAGCAATTAACTCTCCTGCAAATAGTTATCACACATATATTTAGTATAAATACTTTCTGTTAATAACAGTGAGAAACATAATTATAATAATTTAATAAAACTAAACACAATAATGCTATTCTTGTGTTTAAGTGTTTTGTTAAGCGTTCGGTGCTTAGGTATCAGTGCCGAGACGGTTGACGTTAAGACCAGCTCCGGTACTGTGAGGGGACAGACTATTGTCGAACTCGACAAAAAACTCAACCAATTCTATGGCATACCATTCGCTGAGCCACCGGTCGGTGCCCTAAGATTTGCCAAACCAATGCCTATTACAAAGCCTTCACCGGTAATACAAATCACACAAAATAGACTCCAAAAAGGTTTGACATGTTTTTAAATAACATAATTAATTGTAAAATATTTTAAGGATATCATCGATGCGACCAAAAAGAAGACCTCCTGTTTGGGTGGCGATGAGCCGGCGTCTGAAAACTGTCTATACGTCAACATATGGGCGCCCCATAACACCACACAATTAAAAGCAGTTATGTTTTGG